TGTCATGCGGAGAGGACCACTCAGCCACCATGTCGGAGGAATGCGAGATGTAAGTGTTCCAGAGGACCTTTTTTGGGCAAGTCATTTTGTTGAGCATGAGAATAGTGATTATCGGCATGATGTGAGTTAAGTTATTATAGGTTGGATAGGATTTACATTGGGAATCGGAATTTAGAATTCCACAACCTTGAGTTGCCTTCTTGTTGCATTAGAAGGAAAAAAGAAATATAGGAAAGTGTTGCATAAATGTGGATATATTTTGCCTGATTTTCTTTGAACTGTAGCACAATCGTATAGGTTACAAGTTAGATGCTCTTGAAACATGCTCTTCTCACGCAGCATTAAATATTATTGTAGATAGACATTGCCAAAGTGAATGTAAATCTTTGCACTTTTGCCTCGAAACATGCTCTTCTCACTACAGTCAGTTATCATCTCACGTGTTGTTCATTTTTCTATTTCAAATTTCATATTCCAGGTTATTCATCCAAGTTTCTTGTGGGGGTGTTCATGTGGTTGCTCTGTTAGAAGATGGCTTGCTACCAGCATGGGGTAATGTTTTCTAGATTCTTAAACACGATTACCTTGCTAAATATTCTTGATTGCTCTATACATCTGAGGTATACATCTTCTATGGTTTCTAGACGCTTGATTGCTACAAACATGGGGTAATGATTTGTACGTGTATGCATAAATGCATAGTAGTGTTCTGTACCTTTCATCTTTGTCGATGTTAATTTCTGTATCTTACCAAAACTACAACTGTATGAATCAAAATGTAATTGTTCAACATTTGGGTGTTTTACGTCTTATTAATTAACATTTCGTCAATCTTCGCTACATCAGGCTATAATTAGTATGGCCAGCTTGGTCTCTGTATTACCGGTGAAGGCCTTCAGTGGGCTCGTGTAATTAATGGGTATGCTAGGTTCCTTGATGAAGCCCCTGAGCTTGTGAAGATTATCCAAGTGTCATGCAGAGAGGACCACTCAGCAGCATGTTGGAGGAAGGCGAGGTGAAAGTCTTCCAGAGGACCTTTTTTGAACGCAAGTCATTTTGTTGAGCATGAGAATAGTGATTATTGGCATGATGTGAGGGAAGTTATTATAAGTTGGATAGAATTTACGTTGGGAATCGGGATTTGGGATTGTTCACTTCAATCCAGTGACAAGGAACTGTTGCCTAGGCGTGTAGTTTCCCTTGACGGAGATGTTTATTAAGGTTGTTGCATGTGGCGGGTTGCACACGTGTGCCGTGACTAATAAAGGGGCCTTGTATGCTTGGGTGGAGGCCATCCTGGGCAGCTAGGACTTGAGCCCCAAACTGGATTTTTTTCTTGCACTCCAAACGAATCTGAAGTGATGCTTCACAATATACCTGTTTTGGTGATCCTGACTGGTGTGCGACTGGTTGCCTGTGGACATTGTCACACTCATTTCTACTAAAGATGGAAGAATTCATGGAATCTCCATTTTTTCAAGTATTTTCTGAGCAAGTGAATGTTTGGCTAAACCCTAAAAAAGTAAATGTAATTGAAGAAAAGTAAATAAAAACTCAAACGGATTTGGATTTTTTTTTTTTT